GAAGGAGAATGGGATTGGGAGAGGATGAGAGAGGGTGCTACAGCAGGGATGCAAAGTGAATAAACTATAATTCATAAAAATATAAATAATTTTTTAAAACAAAAACAAAAGTCTGGTTAAATACTTAAAATCATTTAGAAATTTCAACATTTAGAAAAGGGAACCTGATTCAGAGTCAGTACTGAGTATTTTTTTTTAATTTCATACATGTACATAATACATTCTGATCATGGTAATCCCTCTGCCTTTTCTAAGCCTCCTTTGTCTTTCCAGTTCCCACACACCTCTCACCAAGTGTCTATTCCACTTTGTTTTGTTTTGCTTTTGCTTCATAGCACATTGGGATAAGCAAGGCTCTTTATGGGGGAATACAAGTAAAGCTGTTCTCTGGTTCCTTAGTAACACAAATCCCTGAAAAACATGACTTCCCTCTCCATCAGCATCTACACACTGCCATTAGATGCCCTGGGAGTTTCTCATCTGTGGATCACTGTCGATGGGCTTTGACTTATACAGGCTCTCTGTGGTTAACTGTAGTTATTGTGAGTTCAATAATTTCATGACATAAGACAGGGTTTCAGAACCCTTATTTATATCTTCCAGCACTTAAGTTCTTTTTCACTCCCATTCTGATAATGTTCCCTGGGTCTTAGAGCAGGTAATATGTGTGCCCCATTTAAGCCTTAAGACCCTAGTTACTTAATTTCAGAATTTTCTTTCTGAAACCTCTTGTTTCTTTGGGCATGTTTACCCTTCAGGTGACATTTGATATCAATAGACTTATTGGGTTGCCACTTTGTAGGAAATGCTATTTGCATCTAGTGGATAGAGGCAAAAGATGTCACCAAACTTCCTCCACTGTATAGTCCAATCCCAAACCCAACAACAATGTGGCCAAAATGATAGTAGTGAAAATCTTTGATTCTGTCTGTTTAGAGTAGCCGGTAGTTGTGTGCTTATAGCCTAATGTGGGGAGTATTTGCCAAAACAGAGTAATAAGTGCCACAGAAGCAAAATCAGTTAGCTTTTATAGGAGGAAAGCAATTCTTTCAAGCCATGCTTGCTGGAACAAAATAATTTTAGGGGAAGCTTATGCACATACTAACAAGTATATCCAACTGATCATAACTGGGGAAAAATCCTAACATGAAAGAATGACCTTGTAGTTGATGTGTCTTTAAAGAACAAACTTAATTGAACTCCAAAGAAGATGATATTATTTATTTTGATCACTTTGCTTCAACTTCCTCTGATATTATATACAAGAATGTACCCATTCACTGGAATTCAATAAATCAAAGAGTTTGAAATCTGTTTATTTCCAACAATTTTGGTATATAAAAAAAATCTAAAACTGGCAGGTGATTGTTTCACATCATGCATCATTAGATGTAATCATTCCACCAGCAACACAACCACCTCCACATCATAGGCTAAAAACCTTGATTACAATGTATTAGGTTCTGTTGGAAGCACTTCAAATACACATCTCATATCTCTTCACAAATATCCTATACGATAGATTTTTTTCACCCGTTTTGCAGAAAACAGAAAAATGTTCAATAAGTGATGAAATACTTCACTTGTATATCAAAAGAAGATCATCATTTTTATAATGAAGAAAGTACTTTTATTATTAAACTTACAAAAACATAGATAACTTTTTTTCTGCCAATACACATAATAAGAACTGGAAAGATTATTTTTTAATTTTATTTTTCTTATGAGTTACATTTTGTTAACTCTGTGTCCCAGCTGTATCCTGCTCCCTCATTCCCTCCCCAACAGCATACTCGCTCCCTGGTCTCCTCCCTGCATATTTCCAAGTCCACTGATAGGGGAGCACCTCCTCCCCTTTCATTTGACCCTATTTTATCAGGTGTCTTCAGGGCTGGCTGCAAAGTCCTCCTCTGTGGCCTAACAGGACTACTCCTCCCCTGGAGGGGGGAGGTCAAAGAGCCTGCCCTTGAGATCCTGTTAGAAATAGTCCTTGTTCCCCTTACTTTGGAAAACTACTTGGTTACTGAGCTACCACGGGCCACATCCAAGCAGAAGTTCTAGGTTGTATCCATAGATGGTCCTTGGTTGAGTGTCAGTCTCAGAAAAGACCCTGTGCCCGAATATATTTGGTCCTTGTAGAGCTCCTATCCTTTCCATATCATACTAACTTCCCTTCTTTCATATGATTCCCTGCACTCTGCCGAGGGTTTGGTTATGAGTCTTAGTGTCTGCTTTGAAACACTGCTAGGTAGAGTCTTTCAGATGCCTTTTGCAGTAGACTCCTGTCATATGTTCAATGCACATCCCATTTGTCTTTCTAAATGAGGATTGATCATCTTCGCCCGTGTCCACTTTCTTGATTATCTTCTTTAGGTGTGTAGATTTCATTATGTTTATCATATCTTGTAGGTCTATATTAGCGAGTTTATACCATGTTTGTCTTTCTCCTTTGGGGATACTTCACTCAGAATGATCTTTTCTAGATCCCACCATTTGCCTGCAAATTTCATGATTTCCTCCTTTTTGATTGCTGAGTAGTATTCCATTGTGTAAAAATACCACAATTTCTGTATCCATTCCTCCGTTGATGGACATCTGGGTTGTTTCCAGGTTCTGGTTATTACAAATAAAGCTGCCACAAACATGGTTGAACAAACGTCCTTGTTGTGTACTTGAGCAAATTTTGGGTATACACCTAGGAGTGGTATAACTGGGTCTTGAGGTAGCACTACTTCTAATTGTCTAAGAAAGCGCCAGATAGATTTCCAGAGTGGTTGTACCAGTTTACATTCCCACCAGCAATGGAGGAGGGTTCCCCTTTCACCACAACCTCTCCAGCATGTTTTGTCACTTGAGATTTTCATCTTAGCCATTCTGATTGGTGTAAGGTGAAATCTCAGGGTCATTTTGATTTGCATTTTCCTAATGGCTAATGAGGTTGAGCATTTCTTTAAATGTTTCTCTGCCATTCGATGTTCCTCTATGGAGAATTCTCTGTTTAGCTCCATTCCCCATTTTTTAATTGGATTACTTGGTTTGTTGCTTTTCTGCTTCTTTAGTTCTTTATATATACTGGATATTAGCCCTCTGTCAGATAAAGGGTTGGTGAAGATTCTTTCCCAATCTGTAGGCAGGCGTTTTGTTTTGATGATGGTGTCTTTTGCTTTACAGAAGCTTTTCAGTTTCATGAGGTCCCATTTATTGATTGTTGCTCTTAGAGCCTGTGCTGTTGGTGTTCTGTTCAGGAAGTTGTCTCCTGTGCCAATGAGTTCTAGGCTGTTCCCCACTTTTTTTTCCAACTGATTAGAGTGTCTGGTTTTATGTTGAGGTCCTTGATCCACTTCGACTTTAGTTTTGTGCAGGGTGATAAAAATGGATCTATTTTCATTTTTCTGCATGTAGACGTCCAGATGGACCAGCACCATTTGTTGAAGATGCTGTCTGTCTTTCTTCCATTGAATGGATTTGGCTTCTTTATCAAATATCGAGCATTCATAGGTGTGTGGGTTAATTTCTGGGTCTTCTATGCAGTTCCATTTATCCTCCTTTCTGTTCTATGCCAAAACCATGCAGTTATTATTACTGTTGCCCTGTAGTACAGCTTGAGATCTGGATGGAGATACCTCCAAATGATCTCTTGTTGTACAGGATCATTTTGGAGATTCTGGGTTTTTTGTTTCTCCATATGAAGCTGTGAATCTTTTTTTCAAGGTCTGTAAAGAATTGAGTTTGTATTTTAATGGGAATTGCATTGAATCTATAGATTGCTTTGGCAGGATGGCCATTTTCACAATGTTAATCCTACCAATCCATGAGCACGGGAGATCTTTCCATCTTTTGATATCTTCTTCGATTTCTTTCTTCAGCTATTAGTGGCTATTGTGAAGGGTGTCGTTTCCCTAATTTCTTTCTCAACCTTTTTGTCTTTGGTATACAGGAGGGCTTTTTTTTTTTTTTGAGTTGATTTTGTATCCTGCCGCTTTGCTGAAGGTGTTTATCAGCTGGAGGAGTTCTCTGGTTGAATTTTTGGGGTCGCTCATGTATACTATCATATCATCTGCAAATAGTGACACTTTGACCTCTTCCTTTCTGATTTGTATCCCCTTGATCTCCTTTAGTTGTCTTATTGCTCTGGCTAGGACTTCAAATACTATGTTGAAGAGGTATGGAGAGAGTGGGCAGCCTTGTCTTGTCCCTGATTTCAGTGGGATTGATTTAAGTTTCTCTCCATTGAGTTTGATGTTGGCTATAGGCTTGCTCAATATTGCCTTTACTATGTTTAGGTATGTGCCTTGTATCCCTGATCTCTCCAAGACTTTATACATGAATGGGTGTTGGACTTTGTCAAATGTTTTTTCAACATCTAAGGAGATGATCATGTGGTTTTTCTCCTTCAGTTTGTTTATATGGTGGATTACATTGATGGATTTCCATATGTTGAACCACCCTTGCATGCCTGGGATGAAGCTTACTTGGTCATGGTGGATAATATCTTTGAGGTGTTCTTGGATTCAGTTTGCAAGTATTTTATTCAGTATTTTTGCATCAATGTTCACAAGAGAGATATGTCTGAAGTTCTCTTTTTTTGTTGGATCTTTGTGTGGTTTAGGTATCAAGGTGACTGTGGCTTTATAGAATGAGTTTGGTAGTGTTCCTTCTGTTTCTATTTTGTGGAATAGTTTGAGGAGAATTGGTGTTAGCACTTCTTTGAAGGTCTGGTAGAATTCTGCGCTGAAGCCATCTGGCCCAGGGCTTTTTTTGGAAGGGAGACTGTTAATGACTGCTTCAATTTGGAAAGATTACTTAAATACTTTTACTAGAACAGATCTCTTAAGGCTAATTACTTGTCTCTGTCAATAAACAATATATGCCCACACTCTGAGGCTCCTATGGAAATTTCCTGTCTTTGTTAAATTTTAGAAGTTTTAAAGTATGCACTTTCTCCATTATACTGTATGTAGGAAATAAACATATTTTTTTATTTTTATTTTTGTCTTTAGGAAGCACTGAAAGAAAACCATAAGAGAAAGGAAATGGAAGAAAAGAGTAGGAGGGCAAAGCTTGCAAAAGAAAAAGCTGAACAAGAGAAACTGGAACGCCAGAAGAATAAGAAACAGCTGATTGATATAAACAAAGGTACAATATCATTTTGAATGCATAGAGTATGCTGTTGCAGCGCAGTTCTGTGATCAGGAAGATTGCAGTTTCCAGACCATTTGGGTATATTGCTGAGTGAAGTAGCGTTTGGTTCGCATGCTCATTACCCTAGGTTCTATCTTCAGTCACCTCCATAAAAGCAATTGAATTTATAATGATGCATAAAGTACAAAGTCATTAGATTTTTAAAAATTGTTTAATTATAAAGTGATTTTAATCTTGATAGAAAACTTACAATTTTATTACTTTTTTCTGTTGGATTTCTTTCATGTTGCTCTTTTTATCAATCTATATTAAACACTGAAAGCTATGAATAAACAATATGGGGTGTTACATTGGTGACATCTTATTTTTCCTCTATTTGTTGTGATAGTATGTTCTAGAGGAGGCCATCTTGGAGGAAGAAGAGAGTGAGATGAGATTGAAAAGCTGGTCTGAGGAGATGAGATTCAGAACATAATTTCACTTTGTTGGCATGTATCTGTTGGCAGTGCCTTAACAACAGTCATCCTTAGGGGCTTGAACATTTCAAGTCATAATAGATATTGACAGCAGTATTACCAGTTGAAAAAAAAAAACAAATACTGAAGAGCATCTTACTCACTTGTTGCTTCCACATTAATATCCACTAAATGTTCTCTCAGCTAGCAAGAGTGACCATAAGTTAGATTTTTTTTTCTGTTAGATTTTGAAGAAGAGAAGGGGAAATGTTCAGAATGGTGGTATAGATCTATTTTAACAGCACCAATGAAGTTGAAACAGGGAGATCACAAATGTAAGGCCAGACTTGAGTTATGGAATGAGTTATAATTTGTTCCAAAACAAATAGAGGTGGTGAGGGGACAGACGCAAAAGTGTCTCAGGTGTCTGCACTGAAAAGTTGAGATTGGAAGGCATGGCTGTTTTCATTCTGTAACTTTCACAGCAGAGAGAAAAGAGCCACCTTCTTGCCTCTCTTTAGAACTAAGAGGCCCAAAGGGTTAAATTAAAACAATAGCAAAACCAAATTTGATCAAAATAGGAAGTAGTATGCTTTATAGTGGAGTGTTTTCTGTCATATTTAGCAATAATAAAATTCCAAGCACTTTCATAACCAGATAGCAAACACCATCCTAAGATTTACTACATCTAAGAAAAGTTTCAAGTCAATCCTTCTATCTCTAATTACCTAATTATTTCTACTCTAGTTATCTCATTGTTTGAACAAGAAACTGGGGGTGAGGCAATTTAAGGAATTTGCCCAAATGGGGTACACAAATAGACAGTATTAGCAATGAAATAGAGTATAAGCTGTGTGACTACAGATTCTTTATCCTTACACTTACTTCTGTCAATCAAAATTAATAGCAGCTGTTCTGTAGCATTTTCTATGTTCCATGGCACACTTACCTTAAAGTACTGGCCCATATGCTTCTGAAAACTGGCAAGTCCAGAGTATATAAAGAATGTCCACAGTCTAGACCCAGTGTACAGCCAAGTCTGAGTCTGATTTTCATCTTGCTTGAGTAAAATTAGTCTTTTCATATTAGGAGAATGTTCAGCTGATGGATGAGATCCATCCTTATAAAGAGAATACAACCTGTTTTACTCAAGCCCATTAATTTGAAAGTGAGTATCTTCTAGGAATATCCTCACAGAAACAGCAAGGATCGTGTCTGACAAAATTTGTTGTCCATATTCCTCAGTCAGGTAGACACATAAAATTAAGCATCCCAAGAAGAATGTCAAAAAGTTGAATTGGCAGTCTGGTGATTGCTTACAAGTAGGAATTGAGGGGTAAAGGCACTGAAGAAAGCAATATATTCACAGAGAACAAAAATTCAGTTGTAAAGCAGATATTGTTGTAAGGGTTACAATAAATTTCATTTGAACATGTTTTGTTTTCCAATGCCTCGGAAAGAAATCTTTAATATGGAGGTCTTTACAAGGTTATACTCCCACCAGCAATGGAGGAAGGTTGCCCTTTCTTCACAACCTCTCCAGCATGTGTCATCCCTTGAGTTTTTGATCTTAACCATTCTAATGGGTGTGAAGTGGAATCTCAGGCTCATTTTGATTTGCATTTCTACCATGACTAAGTACTTTGAGCATTTATTTCAGTGTTTCTCTGCCATTTGACATTCCTTTGTTGAGAACTGTCTGTTTATCTCTGTACCCCATTTTTTTGTCTTTTTTTTTTCCAGAGCTGAGGACGGAACCCAGGGCCTTGCGCTTGCTAGGCAAGTGCTCTACCACTGAGCTAAAATGCCCAACCCATTTTGTTATTTTGTCCTTTTTTTGTACTCCATTTTTAATTGGCTTCCTGGTTTGTTGGTGTTTCACCTCTTCACATTTATTTTTTGTTGATCTTAGAACCTGGGTTGTTGGTGTTCTGTTCAGGAAGTTGTCTCCTGTTCCAATGATGTTAAGGCTCTTCCCCACTTTTTCTTTTAACAGATTTAGTGTGTCCAGTTTTATATTGAGGTCTTTGATCCACTTGGACTTTAGTTTTGTGCAGGGTAATAAATATGGGTCTATTTGCAATTTTCTACATGTAGACATCCAGTTAGACCAGCACCATTTGTTGAAGATGTTATCTTTTTTCCATTGTATAATTTTGGTTCCTTTGTCAAAAATCAAGTATCTGTTGGTGTGTGGGATTATTTCTGAGTCTTTCATTCAATTTCATTGATATATCAGTCTTTTTCTATGCCAGTACCATTGATGGCAAACTTGTACAACCATTTTGGAATTCAATCTGGCTCTTTCCAAGAAAATTATGAATAGTACAACCTCACGATCCAGCTATACCACTCCTAGACATATATCCAAAAGATGCTAAACCATACAACTAGGACATTTGTTCAACTATGTTTGTAGCAACGTTATTCATAATGGCCTGAATCTGGAAACAATCTAGATGTCCCTCAACCTACGAATGTATAAAAAAATTGTGGTATGTTTACACAATGGAATACTACTCAGCAATTAAAAACAAGGAAATCATGAAATTTGCAGGCAAATGGTGGGAACTAGAAAAGATCATCCCGAGTGAAGTAAACCAAAAACAGAAAGAGAAACATAGTATATACTCACTTATAAGTGGATATTAGTCATATAATATAAGATAAACACACTAAAATCTATAGTCTTAAAGGAGATAAAAAAAAAAACAGGGACCCTAGGAAAGGGGCTGGAACCTCACTCATAAAGGCAAACAGAATAGACATTGGGAGTAGGAGAAGACAAGGAACAGGACAGGAGCCTTCCATAGGGGTCCTCTGAAAGACTCTACCCATAAGGGTACCAAAGGAGATACTGAGACTTATACTCAAACTTTGGGAAGAATGTCAGAAACCTTATGGCAAAAGAGGGAGATAGAAAGACCTGGAGGAGACAGGATCTCCACCAACAGAGCCAAAACCTTGCCCTCAGGGGCCCCTGCAGAAACTGATACTTGAGCCAAGGACTTTGCATTGAGAGGACCTCTACCCCTGGTTCAGATGAAGCCCATAGGCTGCTCAGTTTCTAAGTGGGTTCCCTAGTAAGATGATCAGATGTTGTCTCTGACATTAACTCAGTGGCTGGCTCTTTGATCACCTCTCCTTGTGGGGTATTGCCTTGCCAGGCCATAGAGAAAGATGATGCAGCCAGCCCTGATGAGACCTGATATGCTAGGGTCAGATAGAATGGGAGGAGGTCTTCCGCTATCAGTGGACTAGGGAAGGGGATTAGGGGGAGAAAAAGGAGAGTGTGTGGAACTGGGAGGAGACGAGGGAGGGGGCTATAACCAGAATACAAAATGAATAAATTTTAATTAATTAATCAATTACAATTAGTTAATTAATTTTAAAAGGAAGGATATCTTTAAAGAAAATCTTTAAGAATCCTTCTTGAACATGAGGATGAAACCCAGAAAAAAAGAACTACATGTACAGGGTTTTGTTAAATGATTAAAGTTGTGAAATATTTCATTACTAGAGATGCCATAAGAAAATGCTAGAAACTGGTAGCTTAAAATAACAGAGGTATTATCTCACATTTCTGGAGGCTAGCAGTTCAATAGCAAAGTATCAACAAGACTGCATTCCTTTGGATGACACAGAATCCTCCATGCACCTAAGTATTTGCTAGTTTTAAACAATTTCCCTGAAAATATGCCTAGATTTGACCAAGACATAACTGTTTGGTTTTTTTTTTTTTTTCAGTATCATTGAAAACACTGTAATAATCTAATTAAGTTTTCCTGACTATGCTGAGCTTTAGGGATGTGCACATAAGAGATATATTTTAAAATAAGTTTTATCTGTGCTGGATGGGTGATTCAGTGGATAAGAATGCATATTGCTTTTTTAGAAGATTGAAGTTCAATTAAAAGCACCCACATCAGCCAGAACATAACCACTTATAATTTCATTTTCAAGTGATAAGATTCCTTCTTCAGACTTCCATAGGGACTGTACTCACCCATTCACCAACCTTCACTCAGACACACATGTACTTTTAAAATGAAAATGAGTAAGATTTATCTTTTAAAAGATGTTACTATATGTAAATCAATCACATAGTAGTCTTCAATATTAGCTGCTTAGCTTGTGGCTATTGGAACAATTATTACTACTACTATTATTAATATTATTCATTTCAATATTTTTTACATGTGAACCCTGTTCATACTTCAGAATAAACTTCAAAAGACATCCCTTTAAGATTACATGGTATATTCTAAGTTTTAAGAATTAAAAAGGTGCAAAAATGAAAAAATATAGTCATATGTTAAAATGGAGCACAATGTACCACATAAATATTTATAATTTTATCCATTAATCAAAAATGGTACAGCTGTTTAAGTGCCAATTACTCTGATTTGATCATTAAGCATTGCATAAATGTATGTAATTATCACATTTACCCTGTAAATGTATAAAGTTAAAATAATAAGTGAGGAGTAGGGGATATCATTCAGTAGCCAAATCTTTGTCTCCCACATGAAAGGTTCT